GAGATCTGCCTGCCTCTGCCTCCCGAGTGCTGGGATCAAAGGCGTGTGCCACCACGCCTGGCAAGGCATTTCTTACGTAATAAATACATGTGTTTTATATATATAGATCTCTTATTTTCCCCAAGGAATTAAACAGTTTTGGGTTTTTTTTTTTTTTTTTTTTTTTTTTTTTTTTTTTTTTAAAAAAAAAAACTGGCCTAGGACTTGATAAGTAGACCAGGCTGGCCTTGAACTCGCAGAGATTCACCTGCCTCTGCCTCTGCCTCCTGAGTGTTGAGACTAAAAGGCATGCACCACCACGCTGAACCAGAACAGTTTTGTAGTTATTTTAATTGTTGAATTTCTTTGAAGACTGATAACCTGTGATGTCCACTTGATACATGAAGAAACTGAAACTAGAGCTTGGACTCACAGAAGAAAACCAGAACAGAGTTAGGTGAATAGACTTACAAGATTGTCTTTTGACTTTATACTGAAGGCTTCTCTTTTTAATGCTGGGAAGGGCTAGTCAGAATACTTGAAGAAGTTGTATTAGTGGCTCTTTGGGTTAACTAGAACATGACCTAACATGTTTTGTGTGACTTCTCCAGATAGACAGGCTTGAGATCTCCTGGGGAATACAATGGTGGAGGTTGAAAAGGTGTGGTTCAGTTTCTCAAGTTGGTAGTACCTAAGAGTAAGGACCCAGCATGTTGCATGAAAGAAAATGAAGTCTGTTTCTTGGGTGTTTTAGGGCTGAAGAATCAAGAACAGAAATTGTCTAAAGAAAATTCTGTTTGTTCCTTGTCACTTTTTAAACGTTTTAAAAACATTTTTATTTCTCTGTGTGTGTGTGTGTGTGTGTGTGTGTGTGTGTGTGTGTGTGTAGGTGTAGGTGTAGGTGGGAGAACACTGGGGATTGGTTCTCTCCATCTACCATATAGGACCCAGGTTGTCAGATTGTTAGGCTTGGCAAGCAGGCATCTTTGTCTGCTGCGCTATCTAGCTGGCCTTCCTTTGTCAGTTTTATTTTATTTTATTAGAAACATCAGGCTGTCTAAATTTTAATTGTTACATGATATTAGAATTCTGTATAACCCAATGTTATACCTTATTTAAAACACACAGAATGTCTATCAACATCTGTTTTCATAAAATGAGGGTTGAGTAGAAATCAGAAGTGATTACTTTTACTCCTGAAAATTGTATGCCTATCATTTAGAAAGAATTAATTTCAAACTTAATTTCCTTTTGCTTGATAACTGCTTTGGAGGGCTGTGTTAGTTCATACCTGTAATCCCAGCATTTAGGAAGGTAAGGTAGGAGAATTACGGCGAGTTTGAATCCAGCCTAAACTACATAGTGAGTTTCACGGTACTGTGTTTCAAAAAACTAAAAGAAAAATCAAACGATTCTGTTTAAAAGTCCTTTGATTAGAGACAGAGCATGAGGATCACCACAAGTTGAAGGCCAGCTTGGTCTGCGTAGGGAGTTCTAGGCTAAACAGGGCTTCATAATGAGACTG